TCATCCTGCAGATAAAATCTGTTTGAGCTCTCTGGTAGGTCCTAAAACTACCTCTATAGCCTAGACCTGGAAACATCCAGGATAATATTCCAGCTGCTGAGAGAGAGAAGAGAGGAGGAACTTTGTGATCCAAGTCTCTTGTTCATTAGGATGTGCCCGAAGAATATAAAAGAAAATAAATTCCTACCATTAGTTTGTTTGTTGCTGTTCTCTCTCTCTTTTTTTTTTTTCTTTTTCAATTTTGTTTTGTTTACTTCTGTGCACTGCCTGCTCTCCTGGGGTTCTGTTCTTTGAACTCCTGTTTCCTTCTTTCCATTTTTCTTCCCTTCTTTTCCCTGCGTTAGGGTAAGGGAAGAGAATCAGAAGAGTAAAGTGAGAAAAACAGTTGTTTGAGATAGAGACAGACTGATGCAAAAGCTGTACATGCAAGCAAAGCAAAACAAGGCATTCATGCACTATTGCCCATCAGCAGGCAGGTGTTCAGGCATCTCTGGGAGAGCAGAGCTTCACCACACTTAACAATTACTTGGGAAGACAAACACCATCACTGTGAGTTACTGGGTACCAATGTCAGTGCAGGCTGGGTTGCTGCTGCACCTTCACTGCTTCTTGTAAGACTTGACCTCCATCGGTTTGGGTGGTTCCTGCTGTAGAAGTCACTATAACATGCAACTCAAATCCCAGGTTACAACAATTTAAAGGTATTTCCATTACAATCTCCACTGCTCATCCCTTTGGACCAGAGCATTGGGTTTCATGTTGCAGTGAACTCCTCCCCTTGCCCTTGCTCTGGCTTTGACTTACTCACAGACTGCAGTCCCTTATGGGTGTACCTGCTCCAAGTGGAGCCTTGCTTATGAGCCACAGTCTTCCAGGGGTATACCTGCTGTGGCATAGATTTATCCTTAGCCACAGATACTTTGAGGTGCACCTGTTCCAGCGTGACCTTCTCCATGGGCCACAGTGCCTTCAGAGATACACCTGCTCCAGTGTGGCTTTACCCATGGCTGCAGTTCCTCTGGGGGTGTACTTGCTCCGCTTACCGTGGGCCACATGCCTTGAGGTGCTCTGGCATGACCTTGTACATAGCCACTGATGCTTCAAGGTGTACCTGCAACAGCATGGGCTTATCCGCAGCCACTGGTGCTTTGAGATGTACCTTCTCCAGCATGGACTTACCTTTGGGCCACCATCCCTTCAGAGATATAACTACTGCAGCACAGACGACTTGAGATGTGCCTGCTCTGCCATGGCTTTATTCACAGCCACAGGTGCTTTGGGGTGTCCTGCTCCCACATGGACTCAACCACAGCTCACAGTCCCTTTGGCTTGAGTTCACACTGGAGTCCCAGCCTGTCCGGTACCAGGACTGCAGAAACAGCAGCCATCAGCCAGCGAGACACATCGCCATTGCTGTTACCAAAATTGGCGAGCACAGCAGAATAAGATGATAGTCAGTACAGCACTATGGTAAGCATCAAAAGCAAAAAGCAGCCACTGATGAGCGCTAGACTCTAATATACAGTGAGACAAGCAAGCCCCATGGCAAGCATAACAGCAATAAATTCAACCTAGCACATTCCAATCAAATCTGTCATTATCTTGAACCCTTCCAGCCCCATGCTGGGCACCAAAAAGGACTTGTGGCTTAATCCCTGTTGGCAACTAAGCCCCACACAGCAACTTGCTCACCACCCACCCCTCCACCCCCAGTGGGGTGGCAAGAGAATCAGAAGAGTAAAATTCATGTTGAGATGAAGACAGTTTAATATGTAACACGCAAGCTGTGCATGCAAGCAAAGTGAAACAAGGCATTTGTTCACCACTTCCCACAGGCAGGCAGGTGTTCAGCCATCTCCAGGAAAGCAGGGCTCCATCACATGTAACGGTTACTTGGGAAGACAAATGCCATTACTCCAGATGTCCCTCCCTCTCCTTCTTCTTTCCCCAGCATTACGTGCTGAGCATGATGCCATATGGCATGGAATATCTCTTGGGTCAGTTGGGATCAGCTGTCCCAGCTGCATGCCCTCCCAACTTCTTGTGCACGCCCAGCCTGCTCACTGGTGGGGTGGTGTGAGAAGCAGAAAAGGCTTCGTTCGACTCTGTGTAAGTACTGCTCAACAGTAGCTAAAACATCCCTGAATTGTCAGCACTGTTTCCAACACAAATTCAAAACATAGCTTCATGCTAGCTAATATGGAAAAAATTAACTCTATCCCAGACAAAACCAGCACATACAGTAAAAAAGATGCTATGCTCTATTATAAAAAAAAAAAATAAAGATCTTAAGCTCTTTGTATTTATGTTTGCCTGTGTGTGTAAGAGATTAATTTGGCTCTCAGGAGGAGATGTAGAGGGTCACTGAAATATGAGATGACAATTACTTTAATAATCTCTGCTTGTTAAGCTGGATGAGCTGTGTATGGTTATGCAGTAGGTGGTTGGAGGCATCCCTCAGGTCAGAGGGATCTGGGTTATCTGCAGATGCGCAGAACAGCTCTTCTGAATGGGCTGCAAAAGCTACTGAATTTTAGTGCAGACTTTCTGCTTGCACTGTGAGTCATAGAGGTATTTTATCATCAGAATCTTTTCCTCTGCTGGTCTCTTAAGCTGACCTGGACTTTTGCAAAAGTGTAGTAGACGATCAACTTCCTTAAGGTACAGCACCTTAAAGGCTGGTTCAGTTATAGGAGTAATCCTTGGTGGTCTTCCAAGTCAATCTTTCCCCTTAATTCCGTAAGGGGGAATGAATACAGTCTATCACTGTCCCCTCATAAGTTATTTAAAAATGTAGGTTAAGGTTCAATCCATTGGCAACGCATCAGCTAGCAGTTTGGGTCCTTACAACTGCTGCTTTTCTGAAGTCCCCAGTATGGGTAATCCCTTGTTTTGCCTGCCACTGTTGTAGATGCACTTGACACTTCATTAGAGCTCACCTGAAACTTGTCAGACCCAGCTTGTCCCTGAACTGGCTGAGTACCTTCTCCCTGCTGCAGCCCTGCTCTGCTTAGGGAAACATGCTCAAGTGAGAAGGTGAAAGGGTGCTGCAGTCTTTCTGCAGTGACTTTCCTTGGGAGAATCTGCTGCCTCTCATTTAAGCTGTGTCTGCTCTTTGGGTTAGTTTGAACTGTTTTGCTAAAGTAAAACAGATTTTCATAGAATCTCATCTTTAATTTCACCTCCTTGCTTTTTTAGCGTATTAAAATGAATGCATTCTGACTAGTTTATAATGGGGGGATAAAAGAGGTGAGAACTTACTGGATGGACATAAACACTGAATTTACAATACACTTTCTGGGGGTTTTATTGTTTTAAGCGGTTTGGGAGCAGGGAAATGTGCCCTAAATTCTTTGATGTTAAAGATGGTTTTCTGTGTCTTATTATCACCCTGTTGTTACAGGGAGGGTTTGTCACTCATTTGCTAGGGAGGTCTTAAGTGTATGTGGGTCTCTTCTGCTTCATGTACTGAGAAAATGAACTGAAAGATTTCTTCATTTCTTAGTCCTTACGTAAAACTCTAAAGGAATGCCTGCCTTCCCTGATCTTACAGGGCCACAGACATTATACAAGTATTTGTTTAATTCCACATATTGCTATATCCAGACCCTTGTGGATCAGTATAGTGCAATTGAGCTAACAGTGTTTTAGTTGAGGAAAGGGCTTGAAATGGATTTCAGGCAAGGCTGTTGGGCAGGGGCAGAAAACCTGCACTTATTTAAGTGCAAGCTTACAGTTCTTGCAATTGTTCTTGCAATACAGGAAGTTAATTGACCGTGGAAAGTAGCAAGAATTAATAGAAGTTTTTTGTTTCTTAGCTTTTAGTGTAGTAATCCCTCTTGCTCCAAAGATGCCATCTGTCTTGGCATCTTTCAAGTACAATGCAAACATGGAAGGGCAAGATAGAAATTCCCAACTGGAGACTCTTCTAGTTTTCTTAAGTTGTGCTAAAACTTAAATTCCTGATTGATTTCTTGTAGAATCAGACTAAAACTGTATGTACATGTTAGGAGTAGTATGTGTGTGAGTAGAACTAGTGGATAAAGAGCAAAGAGTGAGCAGCCTTTTGCTGCTGTGAGAGAAATGGCTGGGGCTGTTGCTGCAACCAGAACCTTTGGGCCGAAGTCCAGCATGTTTTTATAAGGCAGAGAGAAAACAATAGATCCACAAAAAAGTAGGAAAACTCCTTGCAGAAAAGGAAATTATTCTATGTGAGCAAGACTCTAAAGATTTTAGAGGTAACCAGAGGGAGGAAAAGTGAGGATGAGGAGAAAAGCAATGGTGAAGAGGATTTTTTGAAATGGAAGTTGTCTTTCAGAGAGCCAGAACCTAATCCAATTAAAATAAACTCTTGCTATTCTTAAATGTAGTGGCATTTGATCTTTGTTCTTTCCAGTACACCACAGTAGGGATTTAATCTAAGATGGCTATTGTTACTGGTGGTAGTATATTAAATAATTTCCCCATTGCCAAGCACCTGTTAATTTTTTGTAGTTAGAAGATGCATTATATTAAAAGCTACTCAGTACCCATACCTTGGGGGGGATCCCTTTTAGTTAGTTGATGTTGTGTGTTGTTCTTTAGTGACTTTTCTGCAACTGAAACAAGCAACAGTGGGGTTTTTTTGCTGCTACAGGGTGTACTTACAGCTGTACTTAATGTGCTGGACTTGAAAACACTATTCTACCAACGTTGATATCAGAGGTTCTAAAATAAAAGGTTAAAAAAAACCCAAACCCATGTGTTCCATCCTTGTGCAGGAAAGGATTGGAGAGAAGGAGAACTCTGAGCAGTAGAAAGGAGTAGATTAACTAGGAGAGTGTCAAAAGAAAGTACTCTTTTAAAATACTGCATTACTACTACAGAACAAAAAGGTCTGTTGGAAAGTAAACAGGTTGACACAAGCATGAAGGCATGTATTACTGAGTAGTTTTATGTATGCTGTGGTCAAAACCTGACAGTCTCTCTTTTTTTTTTTTTTTTCTTCTCTCTTATTTTAGTTGAATGGATTGCTGCAATCTCCTTAGCTGCTGGAGCAGCTGTGGTTGGGTATCTAGCTTACAGATTTCTCTCTAAAGACAAACGCTCCAAAGCAATGGTGAATCCCCATATCCAGAAGGATAACCCCAAGGTAGTCCATGCATTTGATATGGAAGATCTGGGAGACAAGGCTGTGTACTGTCGTTGTTGGAGATCTAAGAAGGTAAGAGAAGAATAAACAGTCCAATTTTTTCATGTGCATTCATCTATCAACAAAACTTATTTTCAAACTGCTTTATTTAGAGGAAACTATCTTTTTTTCACCTAAACTGTACTGCAGTAAGATGTAGCATTATTTTAATCCATAAAACTATGCAGATTTATACTGTCACTCAGAGTAGTGAACATAATATTTCTCTAGCACTGAAGAAGCAGATCCCTAGAAAGGAGAGCCACTCTATGGAGTAATCAGAGTCATGAATGACAAATACTATTTTGTGTGCTGCCTGTGCTAATACTGAGGCTTATCCAAAACTACTAGCCTGTTGGCAGTATGAGCTCAGGAGCCGCAGTCTGAGAGAACCTTAAACACTATTTACTGGAGGAAGTTAGAAGTTTACTCTGTTAGTCAGAAAGTACCTTGCCACTAGTTCGTGGTGGTAATAATACAGATTGATTAACCTGGTGTACCAGAGCTGGTGTCAAATCGTAACTTGCAATGTCTGAGCCCATCTTTAAGTCTCATAGATGGAGTGACTGCAGAATTGTTTTGGGAAGAGCCTGTCTTGCACAGGTGGTGTTACCACTGTTCTGTCCTGAATTTATTGTAGTACTGCTGTGTACTGCGGTTAGCTACCTTTTACCATGCAAATAAGTACAGCAATGAATTGTTTCCAGTGGTGATGGGAAGTAATCTAAGAAGTCACTGTGGTTACAAGCTTTTGAAGAACCTAGACTTGATGGACCTAATGCATTTCTGCCTTACCAAGTCAAAATAGTTATATGGGTAATTCTTAAGTAAAGCCAGGGAAATCATGATGGCATGATTTAAGCTGCTGTTTTAGAGCAATTAGAATTCCGGTCTAGACACCAGTCCAGCTTACTTGTATATGAAGTTGGGTTGACTCAGTTTGCCTAAGAATAGTGGTAAGCATGATACCTAGCCTTTCAATAGCACTAAGATCAGATTTAAATCTGACATAGAGATGTGTGACATTTGATGTAATTGAGCTCTGTATAATTTACCTATCTCTAGTGATCGTTCTGGGATCTATAATGAGAGTAAGTAGAGACTGTATGAGTAGTCCTGTCCATTTACCACTGGCAAACATTTAAAAGCTTTTTCAGAAGTCAAGGTGCTAATGTGTGGAAACTGACATAATACAGAACTTCAGAGCCAGATAACCAAGGCCAACAGCCTTAAAATCTAGCACTCTCTTGAGACATCAGTGAACACTAGACTTCTCAAGTCATAAGCAGTGGTCTAATTGGGCCACACTCTGCAGTGTTCCAGGTGCTGTATCTTCTGCTGTTGTCAGATCTGACTTCATGACCTTGTGGGTGAGAATAACCCAGGAAGTTGAACATTTGTAGCTGTATTTGGTTTAACACTGAAACACTACTGAGAGTTAAACAGCATCACAACTTGACTCTGAAATAGCCCTGTGGAGATGGGCTCATCTTCTCTGCTCTGTTCATAGTCTGAACTGAAAAACAAAATATTCCTCCCCACCATGGCTACAATGTTCTCCATGGATTAAGGTACATATTGTGTGATTATGGAACAGGGAAGTATGTACGTTTACATGCAGTGCTGATGGCTGTACGGCATGCAGGTACATGCATGTGTATATTAATATTGCTGCTAAATCTTTGTGTTGAGTCTCAACTGATGTCCAGAATCCAGTGTTGGAAGCTACCGTGAGGGCTACAGCTTCAGAAAAGAAAAAAGGGGAGGAGAAAGGCTGCTCTAAGTGTCTGTTCTTTGTTATAATATCTGAATTAGGGTTTACCTCAGATTGGGATACTTCAGCGCATGCACACTTGATGGTGTGCATGCACTCCAGCTGACTTCACATGGTGTTCTTCCTGTATGGGGAATAACAAATCAGTTTGACTGTATCAGGGATTTTTGGGATAACTCTAAAAAACAGAGTTCTGTTCAGTTGTTGGTTTTGGTTTATTTTTTTTTTTTCTCAAATAGTATAATTCACAGGCTTTTTCTTTGTGCTGGCCAAAGTCTTTGTGGGGTACATGTGCTGAAAAAACCCTGCAGGTGATACCTTTAGATAAGTCTGTCTTTGGATGTAATTACCTGTTAATAATAGGTAGGTAGTTCTTTAAGTGGCCCTTTCCTATTCAATGTTGTGTTCTGCAGGCACTTCATAATATTACTTGTCAAGTTTTGTGGAAAAAAACAGGTGTTCATATTTATAGTGTAGAGACAAGAGTTTTGTCTTAAACCCAAACTCTAGTTAGTCTAAAGTTAGAATATTTGTTTTCTTACTCTTCTCCATTTTAAACTGTGTGAGCTGGGGATGGAGGGGTAATTTGCTTGCTTTTGTAGTGACCTGCAACTTCTGTGTCTTCAGAGAGGTATTAGTCCCTAGGCCGCGGGACAAGGAATTCTGCTACAGAACATCAGAAGAAATGGTGGTAGAGAATCTAAACCGTTGCACTGTTGAGGGAAATAAGCTGATCTGTCCAGATCACTTCACAGTTCCTTCAGGGCTTGAGCTTTTGCCACTACTGCTAGCCTGCTTTATCTTAATGAAGGATGAATGTGTTGTGTCAGGCCCAGGATCCATCTGTTAGTGTCTGGTCTTCAGGGTGACCAAGTAGGGGCTCTGGAAAAGTGGTGGTGATTACCCTTTTATTTTTTTTTATTTTTTTTTTTCCCCCCTGAGAAGCTCAAGTCTAGCATCCAGCCTCTGGGAGCCAGTTATTCTGAGACCAGCTAACCCAAAGGATGAGTTCAGAGCAGACAGTTGGTAGTCATTTAAGATGTCTCAATGCAATCTGAAGCCTATGAATCCCGCCATTTTTGACACTTAAAAACTTGAGGTGATGGTGACTGATATTTTATGATTCTGTAAGGAGTCACGTGGAAAAGAGGTTACAGGTACAAATTACTTCTGGGGAGATTCCGATTAAACACAAGAGGAAAATTGATCACAGTGAGAACAATCAGCCATTGGAATAATCTCAAGGAAGTGGTAGACTCCCCACTGTTGGACCCTTTTACCATTCAGCTGGACCATGGTGCTGGGCTATCTAGTGTAGGTCATGGTTTGCCAAGAAAGGCTAGACCAGATGATTCTTGAGTTCCCTTCCAATGTAGTATTGTTTGATTCTGTTATTTATGTTGCTGTAGCTGGATCTTGGGCTTGCCTCCTTGGGCCATATGAGATGTTAATGTCTGATGGAAGCTGGGTCAATGCTTCTGTGAAGACCAGTGGACAGTGGTGTTGCATGGGAAAATAACCGGCTTGGGAACATCTGAATTGGAAGCTGGTCAGTGTCCCAGGAACATATATTCTTGTTTTCTCGGATTTTTTCCAAGTATCTGTCAGTACCTCCTCATTCAGTCACAAATGACTGATGTGATGATAAAGTTCCTGCATGAATCAGCATACATGAGTATTATTCTAATTCAGGATTTCTTTATTTGAAACATCACGTGCTTCTTGGAGTGTGGATTTTGACATTTTGTAACTGTGAAAAACAAAAAACCCCACCTAATCTCTTCCCCCTCCCCGCCAGATTGTAACACTACCCTACAGGGCATGTTGCTTTATTCTTAGAGCTCTGTGAATTTTTTTTGCGAGTATATTGTCTTCATTATATTGGTTTTGTGCAATATTTTGAAATCTTTTATTCTAACTAAGTATGGGTGATAGGATGTTAATTTTTTCTCAAGGCTATGACTGAAGTATGAACATTGGGATCAGTGGAGTGTTGAAGACTTTGTGACTGTACTGTGAGGGAATATTGCTGTTGCAAAGACAAAAGCTGAGTAATGTCTAACTTTTGCTTGCTTAGAAATAATGAGAATCAGTAGTAATGCAGAATACTGGTGTGTGATGGCTGTGATCGTCTCCAGAGTTTCTTGTGCACAGGAGGCATAGGCCTTAAGAAGTGATGGGATCTAACTTTACTCTTGCTGCTTCACAGAATGTCCTTCAGCTCTTGCATGTGAAGAGCTGCCCAGGAGCAGAAGGACTGTTACCTGGGCATTCTATTTACAGCTGGCTAAAGGAGTCTCTGTGGGTCTTGCTCTGACCAGGCAGTTCTAGTTTTCTTTTTTTATGGAACGGACAGTTCTCCAAATTATCTCCTCAGTGCTACCCATAAGAGCCTTTGATGAATAGCAATGTCACTTGGAAGTGCAGTTAATTTACGTTAGCAGGTCCAAATCCTAATGTGGAAGCCAGCTTGTTCAAAGGGTCCTTTGTGTCAGTGAGATAAGCTAGCTGCAGCGGGATGAAGCAAAGCTGGCTTGCCACTCTAGCTGTCTAGAGGCAGGACTAATATGTAGGCGTGTATCTTAAATAAGAGATGAGCTCAGGAAACTGTCCTTTTTTTTCATTATGTGCTACAGAAAACTTGGGGGAAAAAAATCAGCTAAGAATCTCCTCCTGTTTCTCTTCCTCACCCCACTTACCTTCTGTAACTGCACTCAGCTTTGTTTGCTCTTCAGGAAAATGGAATATGGGGTAAGGTTGAGAGTGAGATATTCCAGGTAGGTTACTGTTACAGCTTGGGCTGCATTTTCCTCTTGATGGCCTGAGGGAGGAACACCAAGTAGAGTGGAGTTGAGTTGCTGCTTTTTCATAACAAGCCTCTCATCCACTCTGTGCTCACATGGACAAAGCTGGTGTTCAGCCAAAACTCAGGGAGACCTGAGATCTCAGCACAAAAATTGTGGCCTGTGGTCACAGTGGGATTTAATGAGAAGATGGTATAACGAAATTTCAATCTAGGTTCTTAATTCTGACTGTGGATGTGCTTTAGATGTGTTTATTCTTTCTTTTTTCAGTTCCCGCTGTGTGATGGCTCTCACACAAAGCACAATGAGGAAACTGGTGACAACGTTGGGCCTCTGATCATCAAGAGGAAGGAGGCATAGAGTGGACAGTAGAAGCTACAAAATGAATGTCTGACAATTTCTCTGCTCACCTGTAACTGGGGGAAAAACCACAAGTTCTCTGTCATGTCACCGAAGACTTTCCAGTGTAATATGTACATCAGGCTTCAGCATGTGTATTCTCTCTGGTGCTTGTCTTGTTTTAATCACTACAATACATAATTTACTAAATAGTCATGGTTTAAATTTTTGTCCTGTAAAGTGTGTGTACCCTCTCACTGAGTATGAAACTAAAATGACGCACAGAATGTACTTCATCAGAAAATAGGTGTTAAATTTTATTTTCAAATACATGTGTACTACTCTGAGGCTATTCAGTAGAATGTGTGTTCAAAAAGGAGATTCTAAAATCCTGGAGGGGTTTTAAAGTCACAGGTCTAGATACATTTCTTTGTAAAAGGTAGTCGCAGGAAAGAAATCGTGGTGCCAAAATGTAGCTTAACCTCTGATTATGCTGCATTTTCTGCAGGTGTCATGTTTGGCCTGTTACACTACTGTTCTGTGTGGCTTCTGTAAAAGAACAAATTCAAAGTTGCTAACTATGTACAGACAGCATAAAAGGCTCGAAGCAAGATGGGGCTAAAAGGCAAGTTTACCTTTGATTTTATAGCAGTGTTAAAACTTGACCCTACTACCATATGGTATCAGGAACATACTACCGGAACTGCAGACCTGTATTTAGAGTAGGATTAGGAGGGTGGTTTCTCTGAGAGCTTTCTGAAGAGAACAAGTAGAATGATATGAAGTGCTCAAAGAGTGATGGGCAGGGGGGTGGCAGGGTTGTCTTTGCTGCTAGAAAGCCTTAGTTTCATTTGCAATCTCTAGCGGTGAAGCTGACTTCCCCAGACCACAGGACACTTCTGTGGGGGAGGCTATGACAATTTATTCCAGAAGCTAAAAATAAAAACTGAAACCCCACCCATCATTATTGTCTGCTTCATCATTGCTCTGGCTGGTTCCGGAGGACTCTTCCTGCTGCAGAGGGAGGAGGCACACCTTTCTTACTAAGTGGCCTTAGGCTCTATGTGTCTTAAATAACTCCTGCCTCCCTGGGCTAACTGCTAATGTGGTTCCACTAATTTTACAAAAAGAACTGACATGGCCAGGAAAAGGCTTTGGCAACAGCTAGAAACAAGGAGGAAAGGAGGGATGAGACAAGGATTGCTCTTATTCTCCTTTCATATGGCACTTGTCTGTCTTGTTTGAGATGGTTGCATTAATGGCTGTCATGTTGGTTTCCTTAAATTAAATAGCTTTGATTTATTACCTACCATGCAAATGACTACAAAGCAAAACCCAAAGAGTGGGATGGCAGAGGGCAGGTTTGTGTTAAACCTGCTCCATTAGCATAATTGCAGCCTGTGTAAGATCAAGCTCTCAATGTCCTGAGACAGCGAGACTACCTCAGAGCTAGAAGAAAGGCCTTCTCAAGAAGCTGACATTTTATCCTAGCCCCTTAAGGATTCTTCCAGATGATAGGGGCAGTAGAGGTTGGTTGTTTGTTTGTTTGTTTTTAAGGGTGTGTTTGGTACAACTGGTTAAGATTGAAGAAAGCTATGTATTTTCGATGTGGGACTTTCAGAGGCTAAGGTCTTCGCTGACTGGTCTGAACTTTGGCAGAAAGCATAAAAATAGAGAAGGTGGCACAGAGGTAGAAAAAGAAGGTTTGCAGGAGTGCTATAGTAGGGGCAACTACTGTCTGAGAGAGACCTCTACTTGTAGGAAGCTGCAGTCAAATACATTTAGTTTCTATTGTTTCTTCCTGTTCTGACTGTAAAGGTACTTGATATTTTTTATTTGGCTGAGTACTGATGCATATGGAAGGTTGTTTTAACCTTAAATTATCAAATATGTTGCTTTTATCCAAAACAAAGTTATTTCTGTATTATTAGAATATGACACTGGATAATTCTGTATTTTTGTCAAATACACATTTGAGCTCATCTTAATCTTGAGGTTGTAATGTCTGTTTTGTCATGGGTGTGCTGTTTATTTAAAGGGAGAGTTACACTGTGAGTAGTGCTGTACACCAGTGCTACTGTAATCATAAACCTGGCTCTTAGTTGGGTTTTCCTTCAGAGACTTTTTTTCCTGTTAGCAGCAAAGCCTGGCTGCTCTTGAAGGAATAAAAATTCACTGAAAGCTGCATTAATGTTCTGAGAGATGAAGTTCTGAAGTTTCAGATGAGTCTCCTGAGTCATAAAACTATTTTCTGGAGTTTGCCAATAAAACATTTCCTGGAGTTTGGGCATCAGGGAAATGGGTTCCATAAGTTTTTGTTCCTGGGAAGCAAAGATGCAGAAGCAAAGTCTTTGTTGATTTAAAATCTAATGAGTTTGTTTTGGAGAAGTGTCACATTTCTGAATGTTGACACAAAGTGGTGAAATCTTATTTTGATGTATATACAGTTTTCTGTACGGTACCTTAATGTTCCTGTTGCTCATGTATGTGAGCTGTTTGAACATGAAAATGAGCATCACAGAGACCATTTGAATTTTTTTTCCCCCTTAGTACAATAATAGATTATCATGTACCTATTAACATAGTAGGTCTATGTGCTTGCATGCTCCAGTGTTTTCTGAAATCCCTGTTCCTTAGTGCTTTCCTCAAATAGTCTCTATAATACGAAGTGAACTGGTTATTTTACCCAGTTTTAAACATTACAAAATTCTTCTGCAGATGTGCAACTTCCACCTCACATTGAAATTCTACATGAAAATGTGGTACACATCCTTCATGTTAAAGCAGTGGAAGATTCCTGTCCAAGAGTAAAACTGTATTTCTGTTCTACACTTATTTTTTAATATGTAAGTGTTCATTAGGAGGGTTAACAAAGTACTGATTCTGCAGTAATTGTGTGACTCATCAAAATAGTCTGTGGAATATTCAAGTGCTTCTAGAATCAACATTCTGGAAGAGCAGACAGCTGTAAGTTAGGGGTATTCTCTGCACATTGAATTCAAGCACCCTTAATCTAATGAACAATTTCAAATGGTGGAGGCCACCATTGCAATAATATAATGGTCCACTAGGAGGAAACAAACGCTGTGCAATGGATACTCCTCGATGTAGGCAATGTTGATTTTAGGGGGTTTTTAATACATGTATATATTTCTGTGGGTTTTTTTTCCCAGCAGCATTGCTGTCCGTCTGAGCCCAGGCATCTAGAAGTGCTACATAAACATGTCTGGGACTAAGAGGCTTTTCATGCACAGAGGCTCATGCACTTTGAATATAGGAGTTGTGCCACCAGTTCCCTGACAGCCAGCTGCAGAGCTGACCACAGGCCCTACTAAAATTTTCACTATATTGTTGCAGTTTGGACCTTGTTCTGGGGCTTTTGGGGTTTGTAGAATTGATTTTGCACAGTTGCACAGCAGTTGGACTGGGGTTTTCATTTCAGTGTGATACAGCTAGACAAAGACAGGGAAACATGAGTCACTGCTTTATCACAGTTGCTCACTCCAATAACGGAAGAACATTTTATAATAGCAGGAAGGATAAGAACGTAGGCGTGAAACTAAACATTGGTGTTGCAAAGAAACCTTATTGTCAGCTGGCTTCTCTTCAGCCATCCTGAACATGGAAGTCTCTTATTAAATTTGGCTTTTGTTTTAATTCGCGAAGCTTCGAGGCTCACAAAACCCACTCTGAGCCCTGGTTGGATTAGGCAGAAAAGTGTGATCTCCCCATAGCATGTGGAGCAGAGATGCAATGCCCCAATGCTGCTGCCACCAGGCTGAGTTTATCAGTGCTCAGCATCTCTATTTCAGCATGGTCAGAATGTTTCACATGGACCTGCTGAGAAGACCAAATGCCTTTTCCATTGTCACTGGTATATGTTAAGCCCAGCAGTGTCAGTTACCCAGTCCCCCAGTTGCTTTCTGCACCCAGGCTTGTTCTGCCCTGGGTTTCCTGCACTGATGAGTGGCTTCTCTGCGCTGGCAGAACAATCATTTTCCTACAGTCATCATTAGTGTAGGATGGGTACCAGCGGCTACTGCTTGAAGCTCTCTGCTGCTTGTTTTCTACTGTAGCCTTGCATAGTGAGTTTCTTTGGCAGGATCATTTCCAGGCTGCCTAATGCTAAGGCTAATGCAGAGAGGAGCCAAATTAAAAACGAATACATAAATCAAATGTGTGGAGAGAAACCAGAAGGGGAAAAACAAATAAAGGGGCAGATGGGAGGAGAGCCTAAGCTGGAAGAGAAGATTTAATGCTATGTAGCATTGCTAGGTGGTAGCAAAAAGGGGTAAATCAAATTACAGAAAATGGCATGTTGCATTTTATTATACTTCTTAATAGAGTGAAGCATAAGATGTACAAAGTGGCTGCTCATTGGCTTCTGGGACTAAGCAGGTCTATTAGCCAAAGACTTACTCCTTAGAGCTGAAGGGGTTATGTGCCTCAAGCAGACATCTGTTACTGTGGTTTTTCTTCCAGAACTGTGTGTGAAATCCCACAGTCTGGACAGATAGCAATGTACACTCATGCCATGGGTCCCCTGTTAGCAGTCTAATGTTCCTCCATGCCTGCCTTTGTAAACTGTTTCATTAAATGTGCAATCATAATAAATAGGAGTATTTACCAGTGTGTTCCCTGAAGTAGAATCACAATAGGTTTATGTGACTGTAGCAAAGCAGAATTCAGTCTACCTTTCTCATGTGCAGTTTGGTCTGGTAAGAAAGGATTTATCACGGTTCTCAAGCAACTTCTCATTGATACGCAGAAGTTGCATATGTCTCACCTAAACACAGATTATTTGCCTTGTTATTTTTTTCCCATCTGAAGACTGAACCATCCCTCCTCTCTGATTTGACATTGCGCTGCCCTTAATCCGTGCTGCTCTTCGTTCTTTTTGTTATGCAGACTGCAGTTTTCTTGTAGCGTTTTTGAATGCATGGCACATTTACACAAAAAAGAAGTGCCTTCTGCTTTCCAGGAGAAGCCTGTTAAAAAAAGAGGAGCTTCCTGAGCATGCCAGACGTTAAAGCTCTAATATATGAAGCATTCAAAATTCAGCATACTGCAAGGATCTGCTCAGTAGCTGCAACGTTTGTGTCATTCAGTCAAGTCAGTTGGCAACAGAAAGGCAGCAAAATGGATGAGAAGGTCACTGGCTGCATAACTTTCCTCAAATACTTTCCTGCAGCTGGCAAATACCACCATACATGGATGAGACATGGTTGAGATGTGCTGTCTGTTCACCGCTGGGCCTCTTGCTCAAGACTCGGGTACCAAAGCAATGGCCAGAACAGACTTTCATTTCAGCGATTATTAAATTTGTTGCTCTTTTCAA